TAACATTGCAATCTTTGAACAAGGTTGGCCTTTTGTGTCAGTTCAATCATTTCAACCAGATACGAGTTCTTGTAGAGCCTGAGCTGGAGGGTGTGGACAAGATGTCAGTATCGTCTGATTGAGCAGACACTGCTTCTTCAACGACGGTAAAGATGTATTCTTGGACACCATCATCAGGCATTGGGATGACCTTGATAGTTGTCAAATCTTCAAGGTCAGCAGTGGATGTCAGGTTGACTAGTGCATCTCCAACGTCTCTGTCTTGATATTGCATTCTAAAACCTCCACACACTTTCCTGACTTCATCAGTAAGCTGCTCCATTGTCTCTGGGATGCCATTAGGCAGAACTAGCTTCCTGGAGTCATCGGGATTCACAATAATTCTCAACTTGGCTGGCGTTTTCACGGTCATGTCAGGCAGCCCCAAAGGAACTAGAACAAACAAGAACATAAACAACTATTAGTAATAGTGCAATGATACACTGAAAGCAAACGTCTCTCTTACAATAGTGACATGCCTGGAATGACAGAGCAAATGATTGCCTAGATATATTATCACTTGAGATTAGAGTAGAGTAAGTCTCCATTTTGGGTTTGTCATTCCTTTTTAAACGTACATGAAAACTACATACAGTTCATTTTGGAACTTACCAAATCAGCATAAATTGTGACCTTCAGCGGAAACAGCAAACCAGTAAACACAAAGGAAATACATAAATAAGGTGTATTTAAACGATGTTAACCCAGCATAAAGCACACACCCTCAAAGCATGGTTAACAAGACGGGCAGCGGGTTGTTTGTTTCCCCCCGTCCCCACTGTTTACAGCCCACTCTCCGGAGCGGCGTGGTCCGAGTGCGGGTTGCTGCAGAGCAGAGATACACCTTCAGCCACATAACTATAGCGCTCCCGGAGCTTTAATAACGGCTCGCCAAAAGTATAAACATCTCTAACCAACACACTCTCACTCCCTAAGCGTCCAGGAGCGACGCTTGGTCAGGGTCCTGAGCGTCCAGGAGCGACGCTTGGTCAGGGTCCTGAGCGTCCAGGAGCGACGCTTGGTCAGGGTCCCGTGGCGTGCAGGAGCGACGCTTGGTCAGGGTCCTGATCGTCCAGGAGCGACGCTTGGTCAGGGTCCCGAGGCGTGCAGTTGGGACGCTCCGAGGCTCCTTCAGCTTCATAAAGGGACGCAAAGAGCTTTCAACTGATTGCAATGTATTCCCATCGGAGGCGGGATTTTACGCTCAGGGAAGCACGGCATTCGTTTGTGTCGGAGGCTGTTAAAGGCAATGTGAGCGTCCATTCCCATTGGATAACGGAGAATTGTACACCCGGAAGTAAGTATTCCCCTTACTGTGGATTGATTTGACAGAGATATCTCCACTACTCAACAACTCAGAAACACCAGATTATCTTGTTAATTAAACGACATTGATAGGTTTTAGTGTGCAATGCTTTTGTCACGTTTTCCCCTTAGATTCTGAGAAACAAGGATTGTGGGTAATGTAGTGTCTTCGGCCATCCAAAACTCATAGAGAACGACTTGTTTCTCAGAATTGAAGGGGAGAACGTGACAAAAGCATTGTACACTAAAACCTATCAATGGACCCTGACCAAGCGTCGCTCCTGGACGTTTATGGAGTGAGAGTGTGTTGCTCTAACGCTGGCTGGGGTCTGGCTGTTAGTGTATTTAATATGCTGCAGTGTTTTTTATGAGCGGAACACGTATTTTAAATGCATTTTTTTTAATGAAGACATGCGATGCTGATGAAGTTAGCGTTGTACCATGTGCTCTGTTTAGCCCCCGACGGCCCCAGCCCCTGTTCATAAACAAGCTTGAATTAAACACTCTCTCGTTTTTACTCCAAAGGCCCATGCCACTCAGTTATATGCATTTCAGTCACCAATGTGTGTGTGTGTGTGTATGTGTGTGTGTGTGTATGTGTGTGTGTGTGTGTGTGTGTGTGTGTGTGTGTGTGTGTGTGTGTGTGTGTGTGTGTGTGTGTGTGTGTGTGTGTGTGTGTGTGTGTGTGTGTGTGGTGTGTGTGTGTGTCGGAGCACACCAGCCCGGGCCTTGATCAGACCACACCCAGGCACAGAGCAGACTGGCACGGTTTGCTCGTCAACAGGTATATATATATATATACATAAATAAATGACGTTCGCAACAACTCAACCTTTTCACTAGTCAGTTCGCCCCATGCATGATACATTTATGAAGATGACCTGGTTAAACTGCTTAAAAACTAGCTAACACGTGGCTAAACTTGCTAACCCATAGCCACATACAAATACCTCATGTGAAACCAATATAACATTTGCAACTATTTAAACTTTTCACTAGTCAAACCGACACCACAAAGAATCGCCACTTGCCTGTCAGCCTTCCATCTGTGCACAAACTTATCTCGTGCCCTCATTGGTCATGTGCGCGTTCGTGTGTGTTGGAGGAGGGGCTCTGTAAGGAAGTGGCAGAGTTTTTCCGGCTGTGTATTTTCACATTCTAGCGCACTCGAGCTGGTGTCTCCAAACTTACCTACCCCACCTTTAATTAGACCACTTAAAAAAAGTATTTTGATTAAATGACACAGTCGTTACACTTTTTCCAGTGTTCCAGATCCATGGTGGTCTTTTAGTAGTCCAATGGGCGTTTTTGTGGTACAAGGTATTCTTTTAACAATGCTGCTGTAATCTGAAGAATTGGTTGTAATGGTCAGACATGATCTTGGTTCCATATACTGGTTTCTTTCTTTTCTAAAATGATACAAATAATCAGCTTGTAATGGTCTGAGCTGATGTCATCATGGCTTGAGATGGTTACGCATCTTCAAGTAGTCCAAACTACTTTTTTAATGGTAGAACTGAATGACTCTTGGATCATGAACTGGTTTCTTGATGCTATAACTTGGACCAAAATGCTCTTTAAATGGTCCAATATGATGTTATTGTGGCCTGAATGGGTTTCTTCATGAATGTATAGTCCAACAACCCTTTAGTTCTGAGACAATCCAAGTTGCTTTGGATTTTAAATATGAAGGACAGACCATCTGTTTCAATGTATTTCTTTATTTAGAGAAAGGGGCATGGTACTATCAGATCATTTCCTTCTCCCTGCTCCTTTTCGGGTCAGTGTGTTTATAGAGACATGATTTGTAAATATTTGTTGAACGGAACCAATAACAATGAAATGAAATGAATTTGTTGTCCTGGTTGGCCACCACTCTTGTACCAATAAGCCTGATTCCTCACCCTTATTGAATGCTTATATATAAATGTCTCTCCTTCCTCCATCAGAGCCGTGAACCTCTTTCCCAACCGGGTCATCGGGTGCATCGGGCAACATGTCGGAGAACCCGTCGAGGAAATCAACAAAATCCTGGGACTCCCGTTTCCTGGTGAGCAGCGCCCACGATCAGCTGATCACGGAGAAAACGACTTCTTCGCCGGACTCGTGGAGGAAGGAGGAGGAGGAGGAGGAGGAGGAGGAAGAAGAAGAAGATAGAGATAGTGGAAGTGATTAAAAAACTGGACGAACTGACTGTTGATGAACTGATATAAGAACACATGATCACACACTAAAATATGAAGTGTTGGACTGTTAAAAGCTTTTATAAATTCCCTGTCAGACTTGTAATTTATTTACTCTGATCAGATCGATCCTGATTTACACCAACATCTCTTTGTGTATTTAGAAAACTTACATATTCTTTGTTAAATAAAACACATTTTTCTTTGCTTTTCTTTTGGTATCAGTACTAAAAAGCAGGTATTGTATTAAAAAACACCATAACAACCAGCTCTATGTTCTGTCTGCTGGGTTTGAGAAACATGCTTTTGTAATAAACATTGTAAATATTTACAACTTTGTCATATCATATCTCTTAAAATACAATGCATGGGTTTGTCAATTCTGCCCATTGTATACTCTATTCCTGAAGAAACACACTTGTACATCGTTTCATTCTGTATTTATTTTAACTTGTCGGTACCAGTACGTAACAAGAAATATGTCAGTCAATAAAAGTTGTGTATTAAACAGTGAAAGCACCAAAGTACTTACAGTACTAAAAGTAAAAGTACTCGTTCAATAGAATAGCCCATCCCTGAATCATAAATATTATAATATAATATAATTACTCAGAAATCGATTAATCAATGTGAACATAGCTTTAATATTGTGTGTATAGTTTGAATATTAAATCTATCAACTGTAGTGATCGCTGTTTATCACTGTTTATCATAATTCACTCATGGAACTACAGGTTGGGGGTATTGTTTCTGCACGGACATATATGTTGTTGACTGTACTTATTGTGTGCCCTCCTTGCTTCTTCCTCTTTGCTTCCCGGGCTTCAAGCCGGCAACATGTGGTTTTCTGCTGCTGAATAAAACCAACTTTGCACCTTCGATGCACCGCCTCCGACTCCCTTCTCTCGGCACTACACAACTAAATATAGTGTAGTAGAAAGTTAAATATGTGCCTCTTAATTATTATTACATGTCATTTGTTAGACGCTTTTATCCAAACCGACTTACATACATTCAGTACTATGGACAACCCCCACAGGAGCAATTTGAGGAGAAGTGTCTCAGGGACACAACGACATGCTGACTGCAGTGGGACTCGAACTTGCTACCCTCTGATTCGAAGTCCAGCACACTATCCTCTTAAAGGCTGTAAAGAATAATTTGGCATAACATCTACATTAAGGGTAATTAAAAATATCTTAACACGTTTCCTTGAAAGATAATAATTGTCTTTATATTTGTCTTTGTCCAAAATTCGTTTTATTTTATATTTTCTAACAGATTTACCCCGAGTTGGTATAGTCCAGTCTCCCCACACAATGGTACAGTCCAACTGCCAGCGGGAAAGCGCTGTTTGTCACGCGACACGATGTACCCGGTCACCATGGCGACAGAAGAAGGAGAAGGATCGTAGCTTAGAAACGAGAGAAAGCAGAGACTTTATCTCCGGATTCACACCATAATCCCTGGGTTTCTTACGGTATGTAAACCTTCTAATGTCCCGGTAAACTTGCATTAAGATACATATGAACCACAGAGAGTTAGGGTCCAGCTACAGCTCAGGGTTTAGCCACATGCTAAAGTTAGCTTCAGAGCTAGCAGTCTGTATTTGTAAACAAAGACGAGCTGGAAATGAAACAACAAATACTTAAAAACTGGTTTAAAAAATGTTTCTGATGGAAGGAAACGACCTGTTCTCTCTTTGAATGTGGTTTATACCTTTCAGATAACATCTAGCAACAGGTAAAGCCTTACAATTAACCGTTTTCTATGGTTGGAAACTATATTTTAAGGTCACTTTATACTCCTTAGCTACATATCAGAGATACATATTGTTCTTTTAATACTCTTTGTTTGTCTGGATTATATCTCACATTTGCATTAACAGTAATATATGTATAAATGCTACTAAATGAATGCAAAATATATGATACTCTACACAGAAACTACTCAGTGTATGTCACAGTTTACACTTCACTCTTTCTAAACACTGAATGGAATAGGTTTTTGATGCTTATACATTGAAATAAACGACCTGTTTAAACTTTAATGTGATTTATACATTTCAGATAACAACTGTCAACAGTTAACGGTACAACAATAAACAGTGTTTCATGGTTGGAAAGTAAATAAAGTACATTTACTCAAATACAGATTGCAGGTAGTTGTATTAGCTTAAGTATTTTCATTTGATGTCACTTTATACTACTCCTTAATTACATACCAGATATAAATATGTACTTTTAATAAGATAAGAGAAGAGTTACACATCATGTGAAACTAAAACTGGTATATATACATATATATAATGAATGAGTAAATGTGTCTTTCAGACGCCCCTTGATTACATGATGGTTATTAAGTCATCTCAATATATTTCTGTTTTCTTTCAGGCTGTTTCTCTGTCATTAAGGTGAGAGTTATCACGATGCCGGGGGAAAACGGTGACCAGTTCAAACAGGGAGACCTGGTGTTCGCCAAGATGAAGGGATTCCCCCACTGGCCTGCCAGGGTACACACACACACACACACACACACACACACACACACACACACACACACACACAACATAACTACCTGCGTACAGATGTGTATTCCTAGCTAACGTGATATTCTGTGTGTTCAGGTGTGTCCGTTTGTCGGCGGTGGAAGAAATAAGAGAATCCCAGTCTACTTCTTCGGAACGCATCAGATGTACGTACACACACACACACACAGACACACACACACACACACACACACACACACACACACACACACACACACACACACACACACACACACACACACACACACACACACACACACACTGTAATCCTGACAGCAAAGACATGGTGACTTCAAAGTTTAATATCCGTCCTCAGAGGAACGATCCCTCCGGAGAACATCGTGCCGTACGTCGGGAACAAGCTGAAGTTCGGCAGCGGCGTCCGGATCAAAGGCTTCACTGAAGCCATGTGGGAGATCCAGAACACCCCCGCCGTGGGGAGCAAACTCAAAGTAAGAGTCGCTTACAGGGTTCTTACACCTTTTCAAAGTCAAATTCAAGGTGCATTTTCAAGCTTTTCAAGCATCTTACAGCTGTTGTAAATTACATATTTATATACACATACTTATACTCAAATGATTATTGTAATATAAAACAATCAGCCAAATAAATGTGTGTTTCGTGATAGCATTCTAGATGAGGACGAAAAATTAAAGAAAAGAAAACTAAGTTTAATATTTCAAAATGAGTGACCCATCTGTACGTAGACTGGGCATCCCATATAACCTGGCTGAGCCAATATAAAACAATCAGCCAAATAACTTTTCAATACATTATTGATTACTATTTCTGAGGTACTTTTAGGTTGGCAGTAAACATAAGTCAGAGGTAGATGGTGTACTTTTCCTCCACTACATGTATTTAATACCTTTAGTTACTTCACAGATGTGGATGAATGATGTGAAATATAATCAAGTGTTAAATCAGACTTTAGTTCCACCTGGAGTAAATCCACAAGCTACCCTGCAGTATACAAAGCCATTCAAACTAGCTGCACCTTTACCAGCTTTGAGAACACTTTCATGATCAATCATTATAAAACATATCATATATATTATTCTGAAATGGACCAATCTGCACAATAACTACCTTTACTGTCGCTACTTTAAAGTGGACCTATCATGCTATATTATAATAATATAGTGTAGGGCCATACCTATATAAGGCATATTTATACTTTTTGTTTTTCAAAATACCAAACAGATCATGCATTTTAGCCATGCCTCATTTCGCTCAATTTGACATTTTCTAGCTCTGGGCAGATTCTGTGAGAACAGCACCACCTACAGGCCTGGCATATGTACTACAGCGTCTCCAGCGCTTTCGAACGGCAATGGCCGTGGCTGTCTCCTCCTGATTGGTGGAGAGTTGGCCCAATAGCCGTAGCGCCACCGTCCTGACGTCAGGACAGTGTTCAAATCTGGATCAGTTTTTATCAGATCCGTTGCAGCCCCTTTTTTAGAGATTTGGGTATGGAGGAAAATAGAGAGGGTTGTGTTTTCTGACACTTGGTGAGTTCCCTGGAACACCGGGGACACATATTCATGTAGAAAAGACGTACACAAGTGCATTTTGCATGATAGGTCCCCTTTAAATATATTTTGATGAGAATACTTTTCTACTTTTACTTGAGGAACATTTTGAATGCAGCACTTTTACTGTAACAGAGTATTCCTACACTCTGGTACTTCTACTTTTACTCAAGTACAAGATCTGAGTACTTCTACTTTTACTCAAGGAGAAGACCTGAGTACTTCTACTTTTACTCAAGTACAAGATCTGAGTACTTCTACTTTTACTCAAGTACAAGACCTGAGTACTTCTACCTTTACTCAAGTACAAGATCTGAGTACTTCTACCTTTACTCAAGTACAAGATCTGAGTACTTCTACTTTTACTCAAGTACAAGACCTGAGTACTTCTACTTTTACTCAAGTACAAGACCTGAGTACTTCTACTTTTACTCAAGTACAAGATCTGAGTACTTCTACTTTTACTCAAGTACAAGATCTGAGTACTTCTACTTTTACTCAAGTACAAGATCTGAGTACTTCTACTTTTACTCAAGTAGTGATCTGAGTACTTCTACTTTTACTCAAGGAGAAGATCTGAGTACTTCTACTTTTACTCAAGTACAAGATCTGAGTACTTCTACTTTTACTCAAGTTCAAGATCTGAGTACTTCTACTTTTACTCAAGTACAAGATCTGAGTACTTTTACTCAAGTACAAGATCTGAGTACTTCTACTTTTACTCAAGTACAATATCTGAGTACTTCTACTTTTACTCAAGTACAAGATCTGAGTACTTCTACTTTTACTCAAGTACAAGATCTGAGTACTTCTACTTTTACTCAAGTAGTGATCTGAGTACTTCTACTTTTACTCAAGTACAAGACCTGAGTACTTCTACTTTTACTCAAGTACAAGACCTGAGTACTTCTACTTTTACTCAAGTACAAGACCTGAGTACTTCTACTTTTCCTCAAGTACAAGATCTGAGTACTTCTACTTTTACTCAAGTACAAGATCTGAGTACTTCTACTTTTACTCAAGTACAAGATCTGAGTACTTTACTTACTCAAGTACAAGATCTGAGTACTTCTACTTTACTCAAGTACAATATCTGAGTACTTCTACTTTTATTCAAGGAGAAGATCTGAGTACTTCTACTTGTAACTCAAGTAGTGATCTGAGTACTTCTACTTTTACTCAAGTACAAGGACCTGAGTACTTCTACTTTTACTCAAGTAGTGATCTGAGTACTTCTACTTTACGCCAAGTAGCAAGACCCTGAGTAATTCTACTTTTACCTCAAGTACAAGACCTGAGTACTTACTTTTCTCCAATACATTCTGAGTACTTCACTTATCAAACAAGATCTGAGTACTTCTAATGTTACTCAAGTACAAATCTGAGTACTTCTACTTTTACTCAAGTAGTGAAGCTGAGTACTTCTACTTTTACTCAAGTAGTGATCTGAGTACTTCTACTTTCACTCAGTACAATGTGACGCTGAGTACTTCTAGCTTTTACTCAAGTACAAGATCTGAGTACTTCTACTTTTACTCAAGGAGACAGATCTGAGTAACTTCTACTTTTACTCAAGTACAAGACTTGAGTACTTCTACTTTTACTCAAGTAGTGATCTGAGTACTTCTACTTTTACTCAAGTAGTGATCTGAGTACTTCTACTTTTACTCAAGTAGTGACCTGAGTACTTCTACTTTTACTCAAGTACAAGACCTGAGTACTTCTACTTTTACTCAAGTACAAGACCTGAGTACTTCTACTTTTACTCAAGTACAAGACCTGAGTACTTCTACTTTTACTCAAGTAAAGACCTGAGTACTTCTACTTTTACTCAAGTACAAGACCTGAGTACTTCTACTTTACTCAAGTAGCAAGATCTGAGTACTTCTACTTTTACTCAAGTACAAGACCTGAGTACTTCTACTTTTACTCAAGTAGTGATCTGAGTACTTCTACTTTTACTCAAGTACAAGACCTGAGTACTTCTACTTTTACTCAAGTAGTGATCTGAGTACTTCTACTTTTACTCAAGTAGTGACCTGAGTACTTCTACTTTTACTCAAGTAGTGACCTGAGTACTTCTACTTTTACTCAAGTAGTGACCCTCGAGTACTTCTACTTTTACTCAAGTAAGTGACCTGAGTTACTTCTACTTTACTCAAGTAAGTGACCTGGAGTACTTCTACTTTTACTCAAGTAGTGATCTGCAGTACTTTACTTTTACTCACGTAGTGATCTGAGTACTTCTACTTTTACTCAAGTAGGACCTGAGTACTTTACTTTTACTCAAGTAGTGACCTGAGTACTTCTACTTTACTCAAGTAGTGATCTGAGTACTTCTACTGTTACTCAAGTAAGTGACCTGAGTACTTCTACTTTTACTCAAGTACAAGACCTGAGTACTTTACTTTTACTCAAGTACAAGATCTGAGTACTTCTACTTTTACTCAAGTAAGTGACCTGAGTACTTTACCTTTTATCAAGTAGTGATCTGAGTACTTCTACTTTTACTCAAGTACAGATCTGAGTACTTCTTACTTTTACTCAAGTAGAAGATCTGAGTACTTCTACTTTTACTCAAGTACAAGATCTGAGTACTTCTACTTTTACTCAAGTACCAAGACCCTGAGTACTTCTACTTTTACTCAAGGAGAAGATCCTGAGTACTTCTACTTTTACTCAAGTACACTGATCTGAGTACTTCTACTTTTACTCAAGTACAAGACCTGAGTACTTCTACTTTTACTCAAGTACAATGATCTGGACGTCTACTTTTACTCAAGTACAAGATCTGAGTACTTCTACTTTTACTCAAGTACAAGACTGAGTACTTCTACTTTTACTCAAGTACAAGACCTGAGTACTCTACTTTACTCAAGTACAAGACTCTGAGTACTTCTACTTTACTCAAGTAGTGATCTGAGTACTTCTACTTTTACTCAAGTAGTGATCTGAGTACTTCTACTTTTACTCAAGTAGTGACCTGAGTACTTCTACTTTTACTCAAGTACAAGATCTGAGTACTTCTACTTTTACTCAAGTAGAAGATCTGAGTACTTCTACTTTTACTCAAGTAGAAGATCTGAGTACTTCTACTTTTACTCAAGTACAAGACCTGAGTACTTCTACTTTTACTCAAGTACAAGATCTGAGTACTTCTACTTTTACTCAAGTACAAGACCTGAGTACTTCTACTTTTACTCAAGTACAAGATCTGAGTACTTCTACTTTTACTCAAGTACAAGATCTGAGTACTTCTACTTTTACTCAAGTACAAGATCTGAGTACTTCTACTTTTACTCAAGTACAAGATCTGAGTACTTCTACTTTTACTCAAGTACAAGATCTGAGTACTTTACTCAAGTAGATCTGAGTACTTCTACTTTTACTCAAGTACAAGATCTGAGTACTTCTACTTTTACTCAAGTACAAGATCTGAGTACTTCTACTTTTACTCAAGTAGTGGACCTGAGTACTTCTACTTTACTCAAGTAGTGATCTGAGTACTTCTACTTTTACTCAAGTAGTGACTGAAGTACTTGCTACTTTACTCAAGTAGTGATCCTGAGTACTTCTACTTTACTCAAGTAGTGGATCTGAGTACTTCTACTTTAACTCATAGTAGTGACCTGAGTACTTCTCACTTTTACTTCCAAGTAGTGATCCTGAGTCCGTCTACTTTACTCAAGTAGTGGATCCTGAGACTTCTACTTTTACTCAAGTAGTGATCCTGAGTACTTCTACTTTACCTCAAGTAGTGATCCTGAGTACTTCTACTTTTACTCGAAGTAGTTGATCTGAGTACTCTACTTTTTACTCAAGTAGGTGGACCCTGAGTACTTCTACTTTTACTCAAGTTAGTGACCTTGAGTCCTTCTAGCTTGTACTCAAGTAGTGATCTGAAGTACTTCTACTTTACT